TTTCCAATCTTTTCTACTTCTTCTTCTTCTTCTTATCCTCCCCATCCTCTCAAGTTCATTCATTTCCTTTTGCAGTTGGTGAACATTGTGCTGATTGGTGAATTTGTACTTCGCAATTGGTCCGGGTCATAACACCTACACCTACTTCTATCCCAAATGAGTCTACTTCAAATTCAGTTGCCCTCACTAAGAACTTGCGACCTCATCTAGGTGATCTTTTTATTTATACCCCACCCCCGTCGATCCCAACAAGCATCCAAAGCCTACTCGACCGATTTCTGGAAGTTCTGGCTGAACCTCGTAGAGTTCCCATGCGATCGGTCCGACACACGATTGAGTTGGTTGAAGGTGTTGTTCCCCCAAAGGGTTGTGTGTACTGTATGGGATCCGGAGAGTTGGAGGAACTCTACAAAAAGATCGATAACATTATCAACAAGGGATGGATTAAGCCTAGCGAATCTGAATTTGGTGCACCCGTTTTATTTGTCCCAAAGAAAGGAGGCAAACTCCGTATGTGTATTGATTATCGTGGTCTAAACCACAACACAAGGAAGAATGAATACCCATTGCCACACATAGATGATTTGCTTGATGTTGCAGGTGGATGCAAGGTCTTCTCCAAGATCGATCTCAAGTCTGGATACCACCAGATTGAAGTCGATTCTGCAGACCAGCACAAGATTGCGTTCACGATATGCGACAGGCTTTATGAATTAACCGTAATGCCCTTTGCTCTCACAAACGCACCGTCCACTTTTCAAACTTTTATCGACAAGCTCTTCCACGAACAAATTGGTCTGTTTGTGGTTGTGTGTCTCGATGACATTCTCATTTTAAGCAAATTCATGAAGGAACATATGAAGCACCTTGAGGAAGTGTTCACCATCCGCAAGAGAAGGCAACTTCGTCTCAACTTAGAAAAATGTAAGTTTAAGAGGGACAACGTCATCTATCTTGTGCACCAGTTGTCTTTTGCAGGCCTTGAGCCTGAGGCAACCAAGGTTGAGGTTATACGCAAGTGGGCTCAACNGAGGGACAACGTCATCTATCTTGTGCACCAGTTGTCTTTTGCAGGCCTTGAGCCTGAGGCAACCAAGGTTGAGGTTATACGCAAGTGGGCTCAACCTGTGAATGTCCGCGAATTACGTTCTTTCCTTGGTCTTGCATCATACTATCGGAAGTTCGTTCACCAATCTTTATTTTTGCTYGCCCATTGTCCAAACTAACAACCAAAAACATATCTTACACATGGGATGCAACATGTGAGACCGCTTTTCAAGCCTTGAAAGAGGCCTCAGTAAGTTATCTTGTACTCCGCATTGCAAATTCTAAACTCATATTCGTAGTCACTACGAATGCGAGCCAATATGGGATTCGTGCAGTGTTGCAACAACATGACGGTGATGGCTTGACGCCAATCGAGTACTACAGCAAACGCATGCCCAGTGAAAAGGTAGCTACTTCGACCTTCATTCACGAGTTTTATGCTCTGCACGAGGCATTGAACTATTGGAAGCCCTATCTTTTGGGACGTCGTTTCAAGGTTGTCTCTGATCATGAGACCTTGAAGTGGATCAAGGAACAAACCACCTTGTCCCCTACGTTGACTCGCTGGTTTCATGAGATTGGCATTTTTTATTTTGAATTGAAATATAAAAAAGACTATTATAATCGAGTTGCTGATGTATTGTCTCGCCACCCCGAGTATATGAATTGCCTTGTGAACTCCTACAACCTCCTGAAGAAATTGAATCAGGAGCTCGTGGAGCAAACTGCCAAGGACGAGGACCTAAGCCCGATCCTTTAGAAGTTGCAGGCTGACCTCAGCAGTAAGTCTGATTTTCACGAATGTGAAGGACTGGTTTTCCGATGCTATGGACAGAATGGCCGGTTGTGTGTACCCAACCATGAGCCTCTCCGCACACACTCCTACTTGGCTCACGGTCGGAGTGGACACTTCAGCGTGCCAAAGACTTACGGAAACCTATTACGATGGTTTGATTGGCCTAGTATGAAAGGATCTGCTGAAAAGTTTGTGGCTGAGTGTCAAGTCTGTCAACGAATCAAACCATCAAGAAAAAAGTCCATGGGGCTGCTTAAACCTCTTTTTATTCCCAACGGTCACGGAGAGTTTGTCTCTATCAACTTCACGAGCATGGGAAAGATAAGTAAGAATGATTATTCGCAAGTGATGGTGATTGTTGATCGTTTTTCCAAATTCCTAAATCGGATTTCATTTCCACMTCATGCCCCAACWARAATTGTGATYCGTGAGTTCCACTARAAGTACATTCTGCGGTTCGGACCCYYRAAAACCCTTATGAGTGATCGGGACCCAMGCTKCATARGTACTGAATTGGARGGACTTCACGTCYCAACTCCCYGGCCTCAAACCGAGCATGACATCTGGCCGACATCCCSAAGCCAACGRTTTGGCTGAGGAGATCAACCAGACYGTGTTTTAACTTCTYTGTGCTTTAATCATTCCGKATCAGGAAWCKTRGGATGAAGAGTTGTATTCAGTRAAKGTRTYGTAYAAMAACTCCATYCATTCTTCCACCGGCATGACGCCGAACAGRCTGCATTATTGTTGGCAGATTMGTAATCCACTCTCTTTMTTATTCCCTAARCAGCCRGCTGGTTTARCACCCSGSAGGCCAGGCTTYAGTGCCAAGTATGATCGCTTGCTCAAAGTTGTCATTGCAACAATGACCAAGCGACAACACGCCATAATCCATCATGCAAATAAGAAACGCCAACCTTAGATATTAAAGTGGGAAGTTATGTCAGGGTCAAGATGTCTGAATTTTCGGAAGAAGAGGGAGTGTCAGAAAAACTTTTGCCTCCCTATTATGGTCCGTGGGAAGTTTTAGACGTCATTGGCAAAGATGGATTCGGTCCTTCGTATACAATTGTTGTGACTCCTCGAATGTGCACGTACCCTGTCTTTCATGCATCAAAGTTGTAAATACATTGTGATGCTGAGTCCTTCTACTATCGTGAAGACCTGATTCCTCGTATAATAATCAATGGAGGTCACGAGATCGATAGAATCAAACACCACATAGGGAAGGSATGTAATATAAATTATCAGATTCATTTCAAATATCACTCGTTGGACGATCTCTATTGGATCTCAAAGAAGCAACTGTTGTGCAACACACCTCGCGTTGTTAAAGCCTACGAGAGACAAACACCCCCTAAGTTGTACCRAAAATCTCATCAAAACTCACTGCTGATGAGTACTCACGAAATCTCTTTGCTATGTCGATGCGTTTGTCAGGGACTCAWAATTAATTACTYGCTSGAAGGGACCTCACTCTWAAAAGGGAGGTAATGTAATGACSTGCCAAACAYGGAYTGAGACACRYAACTGATTTTTGAGTTTGGCCCATAGAATGAATGCCTTGCTGAGTTTCCCGCTTGTTGTTGAGTTCTCTAAGTCTGTGTGTGTGCATGCTTGCTGGTCTGCATTCCTGTCTAAGTGCTTGTCGGCTTGAGTGTGTGTGTGACCCACAACGACACTTGTTTGTTTAGAAGGCCGGAAGGACCGGTACTTACCTGTGGTCGTGACATTGAGGGTTGCAAACGGGAAAACACTCAAGTGGCTGGGAAAGAGGCCCGCGATACTTGAAGCAGCGGAAAACACTCATGTAGCAGGTAGGCAAGAAGCACACCAGGTAGAGGTAGATGTGCCTCGTACTCGAGGTCGAGCAGAAGAAGAAAAAAGTTGGCGTTTTTAGAGGCCCAGTAATTGTAGGCTAGGTCTAGGCAGGTACCAGTCCAACCAGTCTGAGTTGAGGGCCTATACGGGCAATATCAGAGTTTGCAATGATGTCTCCTTTGGAAAGGGAGGAGGTACTGGTTGCTTGGAGGCCGCGCGACCTAGGAAGTCACTCGCCAAGAAGAAAGCAGGCCGCTATATCTCCAGGAGGAGCAAGGTGTTCCTCCTCATTTCCAGTGTGCAAGTTTGGCGACACACTGGTTGGACCGCTGGTTGGAGCGCTGCTGGGGAAGGAGCAAGGACATGGAGGAGGAAGAAGACCAGGACTAGGAAGGGGAGCGCCAGAGGTACTTACCTGTCTATGGTGGTTGCCATCTTCATCACCTTGGTGGACGCTGCAGCAGGAAGGCCCGAGTTGGGGTAGAGCTACACCAAGAAGCTTCGAGGCAGAGTCAGGCATGGCGGCCTGAGTTAGAGAAGCCATAGCTACTTTGTGTTGTCCTTTGGACAGCAGGGCAATGGCCTGGTAGTCCGCCATAGCCTCAGCCTTGGAGGAAGGAGGAAGAATGGCGGCCATGGCTATGGTGGACCTCATGTGATACCTGCAGTAGAAGTGGGATTCAGACATTGATTCTAGTTCAGACATTCAACATTGTTATCATTATTTCTTGTTTGAACAAGAGGGAAAGAGATAAGGAGGAAGGGAGTAGTGGGCGAAGAAGAAGAAGAGCATTATCATTGGTCTATGCTGGTGCACATCATCTTCTGCTTTCATTGGTCTATGCTGGTGCACATCATCTTCTGCTTTTTTCTTTCTTCTTGTTCTTCTTCTTCTTCTTTCCCTCTCTCTCCTCTCAAGCTCATTCATTTCTTTTTGCAATTGGACGACATTGTACTTTCTGATGAATGGTTACTTCAAAATTGGCCAGGATCACAACATTGGTATCAAAGCAGATTCTACTTGCTGGTGAGAGTTGACTTATCCACCCTGCTTAGGTTAGGCCTGACCACTTAGGGTTAGGGTGTGTATGAAGTGTGTTGGTCTGAAGTGGTAAGTGGGGCAGCGTGGGTTAGGGAAGCTGCCCCACCTGGTTAGGTCGTGTTGGGTCGACACTGAACGTGACCAGGTTGATTGAGAGTGAGCTTGTGGTGGTGAGACACATCAAGAGGACTTCATGCGACAAGTTGAGAGAGGCGACAGTGAGAGSCACTCGCAYCYGGAATCTGACCTAAGGGAGACACTTGGTGACTTGAGGGCCTCCCTCAAGTAGGCGATCTTGAGGGAGGTAGCCATTCTGCATCTACAGACTGCAAGTTGCTACTTTGTTCTTCAGCATTGGCGGGGGATCTGACGTTGCTCTTTGGTGTTGGAGTCAGACCCTCCTACATGATAGGACACTTGTGTAGAGGTAGCGAATAAGGTTAGGAGGACCATATGAGGAAGGGGGGTGAGTTATACTTCATCTCAGAGTCTGGGCCACTCAGGTAAGTGTCATGCACATAAAGGTTTCCCATGTGTGAGTGCATGGTATTGTGTGTTCTCTTGGGGTATTTTTGGGTCCCTTTCCTTCTCCTCTGAAGTCCTGGTTGTGTGCATTGGTGTGCAAACTGCTCATTGCTTAGTAACCTGATGGATGTAGAGATGAAGTATCTTGCTTGGAATGCCATATCTTTCTACAATGCGTTGTCTTTTCATTCTGAATAGATGAAGTCTGTAGGTTCTCTCTTGAAGTTGAAATTCATCTTTTAGTACGGTAGAGGCAAAAAGTAGGACCTTGTGGTACTCTTCTTGCTTGGGACTTGGTCGTGACCTACGTGGGACCCATAGGGACTCGGTGGGAACCGCCCCAAACAAAAAGGGCCCTTTGGACTCAAATCTGTTGACGCAGTGTCGCTCACTTTTCTATCTGGAATTCGTTGCTCTTCTTTTGTATTAGAACACTCACTGCCAAGGGGATCTCGAATGAGATGTTTTGCACAATCCGATACTTGACCTCCACCTTATACACCACTCAATTCTCCATCGCTGTATGTTGCCACTAGTCTGATTTGTTGTACTTTGACGGTGCCGATCAAATTAGGCTCGAGGCGATCAAATTAGGCTCGAGGCGATCTTTTGGTCTCATCGGACGAAAACACAGAGTCATAACTCTCTTCTGAATTATCTTTTTTTTTTTTTTTTATTGGTTGCTCTCTAATCCAGATATTTTGTCACTCTGGTTAGGAGTTCTACCTTCTCTTTTGTGCTTTCAGTTTGTTTCTTTTTACTGAAGTTCATTGTATGCCTGTAACGACGCGCAAACAAGAGAAAAGAGAGAGAGAGGTCATGGCAACAAAAGGATCTAGTAGTTCCAACGTGGCATCAGGCAAGCTTTCTGATATTCTAAGGGCTCATTTAGATGCTGTGGATGAAGAAGATAAACCGTTGTACCAGGCCCTGTATCAGAAGGAAGTGGCCGAGGAGGAAAAAGAGGAAGAGGCTAAACGGAAAACATTCGTTGAAAATCTTGAGACTATTTTTAAAATAGTCTCAACCTTGCTTGATGCAAATATTAAGAAAGATGTGGTCAAGTATGTATGTGCCCTTGTAAATTTCCATTTGCTCAGCGAACTCCCAATGTTGAAGTCCCAACTACTCAATGAAATGAGTCAGATGCGTACTCAGGTGGCAGATATGGCCAAGGAGCACCGCGATCATATACAACGAATGGCCATTATGCATCATGCCCAAACCTCAAGTTCCCTTGCCCGACCTCTTGCTGCTAACCGTTCTACCTTGCACCTCTCCATCCTTCTTCTTCTTATTATTCTCCTTCGTTGACTTTAGTGGCTTATCAGTGAGGACCTGCAATAGGTGCAGATTTCGTTGCCGCTACAATTGACAATGGCTGGTCCGAGCTTTAGCAGTCCATACATGGAAAGAAACGCGGTAATGATATCGTTCAAATATGATGGCAAGGAAGATGATGAGGCTTGGATAAACTCCATGAGAGCTTACTTTGAGGTATAGGACAGTCAAAGAGTGAACTAGTGTTTGATCCTAGGGACGAACGTCGAGGCTTTCGTAAGGGGCTTCCTAGAAGTCTAGGCTATGCAATCTGGGTATCCCAGGATCGACTTAACTTTATGGCTTAAAGTCACCCTAGTTGCCGCTCTCGAAAAGATACTATTAGCGCAATACAAAGACCTGCATGCTGCAACTATAGTAAGGATCCAACTCGATGAACTTAAGTGCAAAAACTGGTAGGACACCATGCACAAATTGCAATTGCATGTCGGCAAACTCTTCGCGACACCGGGATAAAAACTGACAGCGCAATCGTGCTTGGATGTTGTTAAAGGTACGGTTCCGACCCATTTCACCAATCCGCTAGGCAAGCATTTCTTTGGTTACACTGGCGACTTTTCCTTGATGAAGGATGTAGTTAGTCTAGAGGCATGAGACCTCCTTACCACAGCAAGCAACAAAAAGACCTTCGTTCGCGGACGGTTTCGTGGCAACAGTCGTCTTGCTGCGCTTGACTTGCTAGAGGTGGAAGGGGAGGCCAAAGCAGATGACCCCACTCTTGGCGACGACCAAGGACATGACGCTGATACCGCCTACTCTTCCACCCAAGAATCCGAGATCAATAATAAAGATGAAAAATTTGGTGCCTTCAAAAGGACTGCCCATACTAAGGGAAACCAAAACCGAAATTTGGTAAGGAACTTCGTCGCACTCCCTAAGGGAGCCAAAATGCTGGTCAATCCGGAAGACTTGGGTGGACCTCCGGATCAGTGAGGCTGAATTGAAAGCTAGAATAAGAAAGGAGGTTGCGTGTATTGCTAGAAAACAAATCATAAGGTCCAAGGATGCCTTAGGCTGCAGGGAAACCTGAATCGGGGGTCGAGGGTTCATCAACACACTCTACAGCACGAGAGTCTAAACCGGTCAGTTATAGTTTGTCAAAGGAATATGTCACGGACCAGCAGTCCTCCCTTGAAGCCCCATCTTCTGCTGATTCCAAAGCTAATAAATATCATGTTTTGTATCTTGAGCCTTGGGAGGAGTCAGAGAAGGTCGACTTTCACTATCACGTAGAGCATTGGGCTGAGATTAAACAACAACGTGCTCAAGGGACAGTGAAGTTAATCTTCTTTAAACTTCTCGTGAACCACCGCTATTTTCGTGTCTTGATTGATTGTAGTTCCAAAACTAATTTCATGTCACTGCATGGTATACGCAAAGTGGGTTTAGGGATGAAGCAAGTGGTCTTGCAGAGCCCTTGTCGGACTCAACTAGACAACAAAGAGGTTCTCTCATCTATGCATGCAGTCAGAGGTGTGCGCACTACCTTTGACAAATAAAAAACTATCCTACACGCATTGAACTTCTATATCTTCGACAAGTGTCTCCTCGATGCAGTCCTCGGGTTGGGCTGGTTGCAGTCCCAATGCGAATGGACCAAGTTGAAGAAACCGCTTTTCATGGTCAAAGATGCACAAGGGAGCGAGCGTCCCGCCCTAGTGGATAAAAACCTCGATTCCCAGTGACCTTTCTTAATGCCATGCAGTTCATAGAAGAAGTGGCGCAGGCCTAAGGAGGATGATAGTTGTACGTTGCCTTTGTTCGTCCTACTCATGTACCTTCTCCTTTTGCGGTCAATAATAATTCTGCTTTGCATGATAAATCTACTTTTATCCCTACACCTACTTCTATCCCAAATGAGTCTACTTCAAATTCAGTTGCCCTCACTAAGAACTTGCGACCTCATCTAGGTGATGCTTTTTTTTATCCCCCACCCCCGCCGATCCCAACAAGCATCCAAAGCCTACTCGACCAATTTCCGGAAGTTCTGGCCGAACCTCGCAGAATTCCCACGAGATCGGTCCGACACACGATTGAGTTGGTCGAAGGTGTTGTTCCCCCAAAGGGTTGTGTATACTGCATGGGATCCAGGGAGTTGGAGGAACTCTACAAAAAGATCGATAAGATTATCGACAAAGGATGGATTAAGCCTAGCAAATCTGAATTTGGTGCACCCGTTTTATTTGTCCCAAAGAAAGGAGGCAAACTCTGTATGTGTATTGATTATCGTGGTCTAAACCACATCACAAGGAAGAATGAATACCCATTGCCACACATAGATGATTTGCTTGATGTTGCAAATGGGTGCAAGGTCTTCTCCAAGATCGATCTCAAGTCTAGATACCACCAGATTGAGGTCGATCCTGCAGACCAACACAAGATTGCATTCACGACACGCGACGTGCTTTATGAATTCACCGTAATGCCCTTTGGTCTCACAAACGCACCGGCCACCTTTCAAACTTTTATCGACAAGCTCTTCCGCGAACAAATTGGTCTGTTAGTGGTTGTGTATCTCGATGACATTCTCATTTTAAGCAAATTCATTAAGGAATATATGAAGCACCTTGAGGAAGTGTTTACCATCCTCAAGAGAAGGCAACTTCATCTCAACTTAGAGAAATGTAAGTTTGGGAGGGACAACGTCATCTATCTTGTGCACCAGTTGTCTTTTGCAGGCCTTGAGCCTGAGGCAACCAAGGTTGAGGTTATACGCAAGTGGGCTCAAC